TACCTTGTTGAAATTTGGTATTAATTCTATGCTCTATCTTTCTTTCTTCTTTTGCATTTGGTTTTAGATTTCTTTCTTCCTGGGGCTAGTTTTGGTCATTTATGTTTTACTAGAATATCACCCTAGGTCTCATATACATTTCTTATTTGCATGGAGTTGAGCAAAAATGTCTTCAAAATTTTTAAAAATATTCTCTGTATTTGTGGTTAACCCCTCCAATAAAAATTATATACTGTGGATTTATGATTTCCTTGAATCCACTTCATTCCCTTGAAGAATTAGTTTTTGCATTTATTTCTTCTATTCAATTGTTTTCTTGAGTATTCATTAGTTCCTGCTTTTATTTTTACTAAGCCCTTCCCTTGATTTACTTTCAGTTCTATTAGTGACCTCTTATTTAATTTTTATTTTGTTGTTTCTTATTCTAAGTATTTAAGGTATCAAAATATTTTAAACACTGCTTTCAGTGTCACATATTTTGATAGTGTTCTTTTTATCCTATTTAGTTAACTATTCTGCAATTTCAGCTTTACTTTCCTAGTTGAACCAAGGAAACGTCTGAAGCACCCAGATATTTATGGTTTTTTTTTTGCTACCTTTGTTGCTAATTTCCAGTTTTGATGAATTGTTATCAGAGGATGTTGTCTGTGTTATTTCTAGTTTTTGGAATTTATTAAAGTTTTCTTTATGATCAAGTGCATGGACAATTTTTGTGACTGTCCCACAAGCACTTGGGGAATAAGGTGATATACATGTATGAGTCCTTCTTTCTGCATAATCTGTAATGCTACCTCTGGTGTATATAAAAATCCCATTTACACTCTATTCATCAGTTGGTCAGGTGAACCTATCCCTGAACCAATAATAGTACACTTAGTTCCTGGAGTATTGATGCTATTCTTGACGTCTGGTCCTCCTGCCATTTTTTTTTCCGTTCAGCAATGTCGAGCCTATTCTTAGCCCTTACAGATATTTCCTAGTCACTCTAGATTCTTTCACCTCTTTTAGGAGAAAAAAGTACGTGAGTCACCTATTATTCCCGTTTCTGCTGAAGTGTTGTTATTCATTTTTATACCTTTTTTCCACCTTTACAGTTCTATTTCTATTCATTTAGTGATTATTCCTAAAATTTTAGTGTGCATAGTTAACAAGCTCTGAAGTTTATCAACATGTTAGTTTCTATCTTCTATATTGTCAAGCAGTACTTTAAATTCCACCTTGCTTTTAAAATCTCAAATCTATTACTTCTACAGTATTTTTATAGACAATGGTTAATTACAGTTTTATTTAACTTGATAACATAGTCCTGCTAAAAAATTCAAAAAGAATAAAAGAACGTACAGTAAAAAGTCTCTTTAACACCTCTGTCCCCCTGGCACCCAGATGTCCTCCCGAGTTTGTGTATCCTGGAGTTATTTTACGTATAAAGGAGCAAATGTGTATTGTACTTTTTGCTATTTTATACAAACAGTAGCAAATTATACGTATCGGTCAACTCCCTGCTTTTTTTCACTTATTGTATCTTGAAGATAATTCCTTATCAGTTAATACTTACTTACTCTCTTTTTATACATGAGTATGATTTCAGTCTGTTCACCAATTTCTTTGTTCACCATGCTTCTTTGCAGTCCACACCTTCCTTCTGGATTTAACTGCTTCTTTCCTGAAGAACAATCCTATATGGGTTCTTCCAGCAAAATCTGAAAGTGTTTTTCATCCTCTCTTGAATGCTAATTTCTCTCTATAGAATTCAAGGCTAACAACAAGTTTTTTTTTTCAAGCACTTGACAAGTGATTTTACTGTCTTCTGACCTATACTGCTGGCACTGAAAAGCCTGCTACCAGTGTAATTATTCCTTTGCAGGCAATGTCTTTTTTTAGTTGCTTTTAACTTTTTCTCTTGTCTTTTGCAATTGTACTGTATGTGTAGAAGCAGACTTGTTATTACTCTCTCTCCTAGATATCTGTTATGCTTCTTCAATGTGAGGATTCATGTCTCCTTTATAATTCTGGAAAAATCTTCAAAGCTCTTATGTCCCCTATTCTCTGTGTTGGATCTTCTTCCTTCTATTCTCTGTCTCTTAGCCCTTTCCTGTTTTCCATTCCTTCCTGTTATAATCTGGGTATTTTTCTAATTAATGTTCTAGTTCATCAAGTCTCTCTTCAAATATGCCAAATCTGTGGTTTAATCTGTCCACTGACCTTTAAATTTCATTAATTATACATTTTTTAGTTCCAAAACATTTAGCTTTTCAGATCTACTTTGCCTTTTTCACACTGTCATCTTTTCTAATGGTTTTTATGTTTTCCTCTCCCACAATCATTTTAAACATTCTTATTCCATAGTTATTCTACATTAAATTTGTAGTGGGGGGGCAGTCCTCCAAGGCTGTGTCTGCTGACTTGTGCTTACAATGGATTGCTCTGGACTTTTGATCACGAGTCCATTTGAGAGGTGCTTGTTTCTTCTGTCCTGTGGAAATGATGCAGCTTGGGTTGTGGGTATGTCTTCCTCCCCCAACCAGGCTGTTGTAATGTCTGTGTGCTTTCTCAGTCATTCCCAAACAGATCCTCAGGCACCTAGGGACTTATATACTTCACATTTTGAGCTTCTTAAGATTTCATCTGAACAAAGGGATCAGCGGCTAATAAATTTTGCTGCTTTAAAATTCTATGTTCTGTATCTCCATGACAAGCAAGAAAACCCAACCCCTGGTCCTGGGGATTCAGAGAAATAATATAGTTACAATAAGCAGTTTCTGGCAAGTATAGCACTTAGTGGCACATACAGAAAATCATTTAGCTCAATAACCCTATGAAATAAGTACTGTAAGGCTTATAAAGGTTATGTAATTTGTTCAAGGTTGTAAAGTTGCTGAGGGGTAGGGTAAAATTCAAATCCAGATCCAAGTGACCCTAGAGCCCAATCACTTAATCACTATTCACTCCACAAAAATTTACTGAGCAAATTATTATGTGTCAGTATGTGCGAAGTGACGGGTCTAGTGGTAAACAAACACATGGTTTTCTTCTACCTTTCCAAATTATCTGTGAGGCACTAATTTAAAAAAAATTTCTCTTTATTTCCAATTTGTTGCAGACCAATATTTTAAAGAAATTAAAAACTTTGCATTGATGTCAAACTGCTATAACAGTTCCCTCTCAATTTTTGCTTTCCTCTCTCCATGGGCTGGTAACAGTTTGTAGACCAACCCCACCTGCAGGCCACTTTTGTGCAGCACTGGTCTAGAGCGTATTACTGGCAGACCATCTGGGGGCAGATTTGTGTGATGGTGATGACAAGTGTGAGTGGATTAACAAAGTGGAGAAGACACCTCTGATAATGGTGGCCTGTATGTGGAGAGCAAGAACCTTCTAAGAGGGCAAAATTTAAGTATTTTAGGTCACAGTCTTCCTCAGCTGGTAAGCATGAAAAGGAGGAGGTGGGTGGAGATTCAGGAGATGGTGAAAAGGCCACATTACAGTCTAACTTCATAAAAAGCTGACAGTTCTCCCTGTGAAGGATGTATACTACTACTTGCTTCCTCTGTTACTCTAGTTCTCTAATAGGATAGGGCAGTAGGTAAAGGGCCAATCAGGAATACTAATCACAAAAACTTAGGCACATTTATTTGCAAATGTTCTTTCCTCATCACCCTGCAAACAACTGGATCACATCATACAATGGCATGCATGCTTAGGAACTAGCAAGTGAACACTCTAATGTTATCCCAACTGAAACAGTAAGATAAAGCTGCTGAAAAATATTTCAAAGTCAAATGACTTATGGGTTATTTGCACCAATATTCTCCTCTTATGGAAAGCAGGGAACTGATCATAGACACTTAGCATATTGAAATCTAAGGGGGGGAGGGTATAGCTCAGTGGTAGACCCAGGTTCAATCCCCAGTACCTCCACCAAAATTAATAAATAAATAGATGGACCCAATTACCTCCCCCCAAGACAAAAAAAAAAAAAAAGAAATCTAAAATACATACCTTACTGTATTTTCTTTTAAGAGTATTAATACCACTAAATTTAAGATTTGTAAACTTCTAAAGAGATTTCCTATATGACACAAAAGACAAAAAGTATATTCTTCTTTATAAGTTAAAAAGATAGATTTCCCAGGAATGAGCTTTAAGGTTTGCCAAAACTTGTGTTGGATGGACAAAATACCTAAAAGCATCTTATAGCTACTTTTACCTTAAAGCATCCGAGCAGGTATGGTCAATGACATTCAGTATTTCGAATTTTAAACTGCAGTCTCTATCACTATTAGACTCAGAACTACATTGTTTTCCTACAATTGTGGTTTATTGTAATCTTAATCCATTTTCTCAAGGACCATTCAACACATTTATATTATTCCAGTAATTACCATGCTACCCAGAAAAACAAGTGAACAGTTTATTAAGAAGTAAATGAGGGTATGGAATGTGATACAGTACAAGTAAGACACTCAAGATGGATATAATAGTACTACTCACACAAAAAGTTAAATCTCTTCAAAAAAAGTTACAAGACAAAAGAAAAAGCAATTCCATCATTATAAAGTAAGATATTTCATGCAAAAACTTCAAAGAAATCCCCAGCCCCCCAACCCCCCAAGCTCCTAACAAACAAAAAGCTATCCGAAATATTGTCATGCTAACGTATTACCCACAATATAATCATTCATAGAAAAACAACACACTAATTAAGCAATGGATTAGATGAAACAACACAGGCTGCAATATTGTAAACTCATAGACCATGACGACTTTACATGACAAGCAATTCCAGATTCACTCATAGGGTGAGAAATATGGGCTAAATGTTGAGAGATAAGGTATGCAAATATAAACTCCATTAATTCATTTCATTATCTTCTAATTAAAAAATCTGGAAGCTTCCAGAACCTGAAAAATTATATAAAATTTGGCATTCTCCATTTATGTTCCAATAAATGACTTTAGGATCACATTTGCAATTATTAGAGAGCTATATAAAAAGCACTTCATGGTCAGGAATTGACCTCTTAAATAATGATCACAATTTATATCATAGAAACAACTGCAGATATGCATTTGCTGTGATTAACTCTTACTCAAGACAAGAAACATGATTTTCTAGCACTTTATGTACAAGTTACTGCAAAGGCCCAGTTAATTTAGAGACCAAATAAAATGTAAAACAAACCTGAACTGGTACAGAGAGTGAAAGGGAACATCCTCATTAACAAAGACTTAAGAGGGTAATAACAATCTTGGACAGCCTTCTGAGGGAACCAGAGTCAATAAATAGACTGCCAAGCTGCAATTCATGTCTCTGTACCAAGATGCTTTAGCATGCTTCATAGAAAAGATAGCTTTACGCTAAAAAATAGGAATGGCATTTTATGGGATAGCATTCCCCTCCAACAGCTGCCAAACAAGCCCGGTCACCAGGTGGTGCATAAACAAAGTGTATTTCCAATTGGGAGTAACATTATGATGAGGCAACCCAGGAGCAGAAGCACCCATCTCACTGCACCTGCCCATTCAGGAGGTCAGGAGAGAACTGGGACACCTGCATCACACGGTTGTGGGCTAAGCTTATCTATGGTGTATAGACTGGCTGCCAGTATAACAGTAAGACCAGAGGAAAAGAACAGGGAGAAAATACTTAGGAGAAAAACTACCTACTCCCATTTGCTACTTTTATTTCCCCTTTAGATTTCAGGTAATTAGAACATACTGGAAAAATTTCAAGATTACCCTTTCCATCTCTGAAATTCAACTTCCTATTTAAATTTCATGAAAAGAACATTTTAATTGTTCAGTGGCAGAAGTTAGCCTCTCTAAAATATAGAAGTACTTGCTCTAATTTTCACAAAAGGACATGAGAAAATTTTCCAATGTGAAAACTTGAGTTTGAGGCCAATAAAGAAGTGTCTTTAATAATCCGGACCATCATAGTTAGAGCTCTTTGGAATGTGCGTTATACGTACAAAGTTATCACAAATTATAAATTCCCAGAGTATTCAGGAACCAAGTTCTTAAATGGGAAAGATGTCTTATGAGAGATAAATGCTTTCATCAGCAAATAAAATCTGATAAATCAATCTTTCCCAACTGACAAAGTCTCTGCTAACAACTCAACATAGCCTCTGGAATCAAATGTAAAAGATCACTCAATCATGATGATGCAACAAGATGAAGTACAGATGAGCAGTCCATATGAAAAACATCTGTAAACCGCTGCAGTTCTAAAACAGTAGATTTATATTACAAAGCAATGTAAATAAATATTGGGCTAGTACAAAAGCTCTTATTTACAGTTTTACAAATGAAACTGTATTCAGTGTAAATGCTGTGTTTTAAAGAACACAGTACTATATTAGTAAAATGAGTTCTGTTGAGGGGAATTACAGTTTCTGTTAGAATCAATGCATAATGTATAAAAGATTCAAGTTAACTCTGTTTATAATTTAGTACAGACAAACCCAGTTTAACCTGGAATGGTATCTGTTAAAGTGCTGAAAAACAGGAAATATTTAGAAAACACTGTACATTATTAAAGCTTTATCAAGTCAGAATGTTAAAACTCTTTCACATTTTTTTGTCCTTTTGCCACAAGCTTGTGGACCAGATGATTTTTCTCAGGAGTAAAACTTACAAGGCCACCAGCTGCTTAGATGATTTTAGGTTCGGTGGTGTTAGTTTCCTAAAACAACTATTTATCCATCAACCATACCTTCAGGTCTTACAATCTGGTAAGTAATTAAATATTCAGGATAAGCCTGGAAGAGAAAGATTAATTCAAATACTGGTAAACAAATTTTTTTGAAAGGAGATCTCTTACAAGGATTCCTAATCTTCTAAATTAGTGCTGTGGCTCAGTATTGTCAAAGGGCATTTTCTGCAAACAACCTTACCTTGACTCCAATCCTTTAGATTCTGAACAGCAGGTCAAGGATGAGTACTAAGCACGTGTTTGTCTGCTTTTAGTAAATGAGCTGAGTCTGATACATATCCCCAGTTCAGAAACTGCTCTAGAGATGCTTCTGACTGGATCTGTCACTAACAGCAGGAGGGAATTACATATTTCTTTGCTACAGAGAGGTTAACTATTAAGTTATATAGGATTCTGATTAATTATACTTTACAGAAGCTAAAAAAAAAAAGATCCAGTATAACTGACAAAATCTGAATAAAGTCTGTAGGTTAGATATAATATTATATTAACAGTATTTTCCTGATTTTGACAATTTTAAGAGAATGCCCTTATTTTTAAGAAATACACATTGACGTATTTAAAGGTAGAGAAACATGCCTATAACTTACTTCCAAGCAGTTCAGAATAAAAAATATGTGTACACATACACATATGCACGGGGGGGGGGGGGAGAGAGAATGATAAAGGAGACCAAGAGAGAGAATGCTTAAATGTTAACATTTGCAAGACATCGGTAAAGTGTATAAGGGAATTCTCTTCACAATTTTTGCAACTTTTCTGTAAGTCTGAAATAATTTCCAAATAAAAGCTAAAAACAAATCCAGTTTTTAAGGTCATATGCATTGCCAGTTTAAAAGACTAGTAAGAGGTATGGCTCTAAAGCATTTTTGAAGATGAACAAGTAAAACTGAATTACCTGTTCTCCTCTGTAGATAACATATTCCGCTAATGCTAGGCCATTTACACTGGGTCTACCAGTGACTGAGTGATGTCCTGGAGGAGAATGTGCCATTTTCATTGCACTGAACTGCAGGAAAGACTTTCCTAAGGTTACCCGGCAAAAGAGCAGCTGCCTGTAACATGTAAAAAGGAAGACAAAGCAGTACATGACAATCTTCTTCATGTACATACAATGTATAAGATTTTTAAATGCATTTCTACATAAATGCTTATAATTGTTTTTATCATTTCACCCTTAAAAAACTTTGTAAGAATGTCTTCTACTATTCTCACTAATGAAAGAATTTGTCACTTTAATTAATCCCTATTTTAACTATAAAATAATATCTTACAGAGATGTAATAATCTCACAGAGATGCAGGCTCTGCCATCCTGTTTGTATCCCAGCAAAAGCACAAATCACAGCCCAAGTGGGAGGGAGGAGGAAGTTTAAGGGGCTTCCATGAAGTGCCTTACAAAGATGGACATTTATCCAAGTAAGTCCTGTTAATTCCACTGTCAAAATATGTCTGAAATCCATTCTCTTAATTCTACTGTCACCATTAAGTCCACATCACCAAAATTTTCACCTGGACTAGAACAATGGCTTTTAAACTTGTCTTTCTGTTTCTATTCTAACTCCTGTTAAACTATTTTCCATCCAAGCAACCAGCGATTTAGGGAAAAACAACAAAACTCAAAAACCATAAATGAGATCACGTTACTTTTCTGTTTAAAACCTTTTAGAGGCTGCTCACTGTGCCTAGAAGAAAATCCAAATTCCTTACAATGGCTCCAAATCCCTGAATTGTACTTTGTGTTCATTATGCCCAGGCATATTAGTTTTTTCCTTCTCAAAGGCCAAACTTTCTTACCCCATGGCCACCATACGTACTATTTCCTCTACCATCCGGAATGGTATGTATTCTACCACTCTTCAACCGGTTAACATTCATTTTTCAGGTTTTAGCTAAAAGGTTATCAAATAGGTCTTCCCTCACCAGAGGTTTAAGTATTACTCCCCCATTCCCCACAGGCTTATGATTGGTCAATGAATTTTTTACAAAAATTACCTGATTGTTTCTATAGGTAACAGGAGATCTGGTGGACTGATGATTCTGTCTCCAAAGACAGGCTATATAATTTTTATTCTAAATATGTCTTCCAGAAACCTTCTTTGCATGGCTAATAGACTCTCCATTATAGTCACAATCAGTCCCATGATAACCCAGCATAGAGAAATCTTAAGTTAATAAAACTTATTTCCAGACAACCAAGCATTATGTTCCAATGACAGTGCGAAGTGGTACTAGAACACTACTTACTACTAATAATCAGAACAATTTAACCTCCAAAGAATATATGACAAGTGAAAACAGCAGTGTTCAATTTACAGAATCTTAAAAACTTACAAGCCCCCTAACCAGCCCAACTTATGATCTAAAATAGAAGTGGGCAGGAGGTCACACCTAGCAAGGCTGACTTTATAGACACCTATGTGAGTCTAAATTAAGGGGGAAAACAATAAGCACAAAATATAAACAGTCTGTTTCCCTTCAGGACTACAGTCCTTCACCTTGACAACCTTTCAAATTCAGCTGGGAAGCTTTTAAAAATCCCAGTGCCCACACTACACCCCAGACCGATTAAATGAGTATCTCTGAGAGTGGGACACAGGCATGAATAGTTTTTAAAGCTTCCCAGGTAATTCCAATGTGCTGCCCAAACTGAGAACTACTGCCCTAGGGCTTCTAGGTAAGTGATTAGAAGCTTCAGCAGGACCTGGGAACTCAGTAGAAATTCAAGTTCTAGGGCCCCAGCCCAGACCTACCAAAGTCAACAACTCATGGGGCATGGCCTAGGAATTTGTTTTAACAAGCTCTACAGGTGGTTGTGAGCTTGCTAATGTTAGACAGCTACTGTTCTAGGTCTTTATAAGTAGTGCTCTAACTACAAAATAAATCTCAGTAATTGATCTTGCTTATTTTTCCAATGGCAAAAGGTAATTTATTTGCCTAGGAGCATTTTATCAATTAGGGCCAAGTTATCTGAATGATTTTAACAACTGAGTTAGACCAGGGTAACTAAAAGTAGGGGCAAAAAGTATAAAGTAGTTCTTTGATAATATGGTGCCTTCTGAAGGGACTGATGTATTTTATTGTAACTTTTCAAGTAATGATATGACAAACTGAGGATTAAGATCATACCACGGTGGGAGAGAGACTCCCTCGTGCATTGCCATGAAATGATTAGGTGTAGCAAGTAATACCATCTTAGTATCTGAATATTAGACTTTCAGAGGCCAGAGTCCTATAATATTCAAGAGCCACAATAAAATCTCTTTTATGCTCACTGATATTTTCTACTTCATATTCTTTAAAGCACCATGTGCTCTAATGATTAAATGAGTTGAATAGATCGAGTGCTTATAACTGTGCTTGGCCCATACAGATCATTAAATAAATATTAGATATTATTATAACTGGTGAGAGGGCCAAAAGCAACATGAAACATGCCTAGCTTGGATTCGTAAAGTTGTCCGAGATAATGCCTTGCCTTGAAAATGTCAAGTATAAAGCCAGTTCTTATCTGATTCTTATAAAAGTAAATGAGAATAAGTGATTTCTTACCTGTGGCAAATGTAACAAGACCTGTCTTTGTGAACTGGACACCCAGTGCCTCCTCCAATTCCATATACATACTGATTGCTTTTGGAAGAGTTTTCAGCAAAATAGATCCCAGCTCCAAACATGCCACCTATGTAGGCATGCCTTTCATCAAAGCCTTTGTGGATAATTGCATTCACAAAGGGAGACCCTAAAATACATATAAAATTTTATCTTAGGAGAAAAACAACAAAAACTAAAGTCTCTTAAAGTGAAATTATTCAACATACATACACCACCACCACAATAGAGCAGAATCAAAACAGAAGGATATAACAAGTTAACTGTCAGCCGGCTCACTACTTGAGAATAAATTAGTTATTTTAGAAGAGTTCCTAGAATCAATGAATTTTCTAATAGGGGTGGTGGTGCAGATGCCAAAATAAGAACACATACAGATTCAACTAGAAAAATGAACAGAACACCTAAAATATCAATGCTAGCTTTATCAAATTCCAGGTTCCAAATTCATACAAATCCAGAACCAAGACTCTCATAATTCACCTTGTATGGCAAAGCTGAATGCAATTAGGCCACGCAGTGACATCCACACCTGTGTGCTTTCTCTAGATGTCAAAAGTGGCCAAGTGATCTTTCCATGTTCATTCTTTTCTTTATACCTCTTCTCTCCTATCCGTCCACTTCTCTGCCTTTTATCACTTGCTAATACCAGATTCCGTCTGTAAATGTAGTGTGTCCTTTCATTTTTTACATATTAACTTCTTTCTCCTCCTTCCTCACATGTGTGCCAAGATGGAGCTTAGCCAAAGAGGAAGAGGTACTGAGCACAGGAACCAGGCCAGGGAATGGGGTGAGAGTGGGGGCTGGGAAAAGCAAATATAACACAGCTAACTGATTCATCAAGATCAGTCAGTGTCCCTGTTCATAAAGGGACAAGAAAATACACTGAATTCCACTTTACAGAAATACTGAAGAACAGAATAACTTATTTGAATTAATTTGGAAAAACCAAGTCCATTTCTATTTTAAACTAGAAAAAAGTCATTCATTACGACCATCAAGTCGATACATAAATATGCTCTGTGCCAAGAGAATACCATGATGATTTTAGGGTTTTGGAAGAAGTACCATTTAGATATTACATACCAGTTCAGTCTGCTATAGCCATTCTTCCAGGGGACTGTGAAATTTAAATGCTGTGTTTTATAGAACTTTACCAGTCTCTAAAAGTTTTCTGCAATCTAAGCCAAATGAAGAAACAGGCTGAAGCTATAACAGATAATGTTTTTGAAGACTTGATAAACACTATTAATATCTACACTCATTTTTGCTATAAACTTAAAAGATCAATCAACCCTGCCAAACTGCAACATAAACAGGAAATTTCAAGAATGACAAGTAATGGTGCTCTCAGTTCAACAGAAGTTCTCAGAAAACTCCATAGATTCAATGACAGTGGCTTTTAACTGAAGTTAAATGTAGCCTTGACATTTAGAATCAAAGTCAGAACAGGATGTATATATTCTTCTGAGGTGAATTTCAGATCTTATTTTTAATTTTAATTCAATCAACCAGTTAAAAATAAAACACCATTTTTCAGAATGATCATAATAAAATCTAGTCTATAAGGGAAAATATTAATAGTCAATAGTCTCATTTCTATACTCTTCCCATTAAGATAATTCTACTTATAAACTGTCCATTGTAAAATATGCGATTTCGAAAGTGGTTGGGGGGGAGGGTACAGTTCAGTGGCAGAGTGCATGCCTAGCATGTGTAAGGTCCTGGGTTCAATTCCCAGTACCTCCATTAAAAATAAATAAGTAAATCTAAATTACTTCCCCCCTGTTGAAAAAAGAGGTTGAAAATATAAATGTAAATGTAAAAATTTACAGAAATAATGTTTATTTTTTTAAAATGACATGAGGAACATACAAATACATTATTATCTCATACCTGACCAAAAACTCGAATGTGGAGGAGGATGGTGGTAGGGGAGGGAGAGAGGAATCTTACCGTGAAATAGCATTCTTTCGTTTGCGTGGTTGTGGTTTTCTTCAGAAACTTCTTTTCTCCTGTGAGTATATCTTTCCCACAGTTTCTTGTTACAAACTTTCTGAATCTAAGAAATCAGAAAAATAAAATCTTTAGGTCATAATAATTACTTAGCTACTTGTTAATCTTCACCAAGAATGGGCTACACATATGGCCAGAAGAGAGGCAAAACTTTTCTCTGAAATATAAATTATATGTTATTTTTAGTCAACTAAAAAACTGTGTCCTAACCATAAAGATGAAAATATAATTACATTTTGGAAATAAAAAGCTACAAAGGGGAAAAAAGCTACATATGGCCATATATAAAGGTCAAGAGCACTGTTTTGTTTTTAATTGAAGTACAGCTGATTTACATGTTGTGTTAGTTTCTGGTGTAGAGTACAGTGATTCAGTTATACGTATATATTCTTTTTCATTTTAGGTTATTACATGTTACTGAATATAGTTCCCTGTGCTCTAAGAGTACTGACAGAATAGGATGTTATTGCTTATCTAAGAGTACTGTTAATTGATTAAAACATTTCTCACTGTTTTAGAATTATTACTAAACATCTCCAAATCAGACATGCTGAGTTCTGTAGAGAAGTATTAGACAGACAATGGTATCTTTCCCACCCTTCTGCTTTATCTGGCTCAAAGTACCATCGTTATCTGTTTTTAATTAAAAATATCTGAAATAACCACCCCCTCACCCCCACCATTCCCACCTACTACTAACTTCCTCGACCCTTTCCTATCCTTCCATTCCTAAGATTTTTGTCTGGAGGAGAGTTAAAGATGGATTTGGTTTCATTAGGAGTATTTCCAGGATCAAAACTCACAATCCTACTGTTGTTTCTTAGCTGTATGTAAAGTGCTTCAGCCCCCTCCTGGTCCTACAACACATCTGGGAGCTGGTGGTTTCAGTCTTGGTTCAAATTAACTCAGAATACTACCACAGACACAACCAAGGAACATAACTAGCATAAAGAGCTCTCATGAGTGTTAAAAAAAAAAAAGTTTTATCATTGAAAAAATTTTCATTAAATACTGCATTAAAACATTTTATAAAGGAAGAAAACAGCGTTATCTTTCCCAAATTCAATACTGTGGATATCAAATACATTTCCTCTCTCCTGCCCTCACCCTTAACAAACCTCTACACATTGTTTGTTACTGCCTACAAAGTTGCTTGACTGAAATTTGCCTGTAGTAGGCATAATTATTTATCTTATTAAAAATTATTACATATATGTCCATGAATAGAAATCTCAAGATGTCCTCTTATATCATACTATGATATGACCTAATAAAATACAACTCCCAGAAGAATGACCCTATACCTGAATAATGTGTGCTTGTTTTACCTCTTATTTCTGGGGGGAGGGTACATAGCTCAAGCGGTAAAGCACATGCTTAGCATGCATTGAGGTCCTGGGTTCAATCCCTAGTACCTCCTCTATACACAAATAAATATAAATATATAAACCTAATTACCTCCCCCTTCTCCACCAAACAAAACAAAACAAAACAAAGTAAATCTTATTTCTAATAGTATGAACATAGCAATCTTGACAAACAGATTTAGAATTCAATAACTCTAAAATATGACATCTATTATTATAATCATAACAGTGTATTATTGTGAAAGAGTAATACAACATGGCTGAAAGATTTGACATTGTTAACTTTTGAGTTTAAAA